CTGCTGCGGCTGATGCTTATGCTGCGGCTGCTGATGCTTATGCTGACGATGCTGATGCTACTGATGATGCTGCTGATGATGCTGATGCTGATGATGCGGATACTGCTGATGATGATGCTGACGAGGGTGATGTTGATGATGCTGCTGCTGATGCTGATGATGATGTCGATGCTGCTGATGTTGATGATGCTGATGCTGATGAGGGTGATGATGCTGATGATGCTGATGCCGATGCTGATGATGGTGATGCTGCTGATGTTGATGATGATGACGCTGATACTGATGCTGCTGACGATGATGACGATGATGATGCTGCTGGTGATGATGATGAGGATGATGCTGCTGAGGCTGACGATGATTATGCTAATGCTGCTGCTGGTGATGATGCTGATCATGTTGCTGCTGATGATGTTGCTGATGCTGATGATTATGATGATGCTGCTGATGCTGATGCTGATGTTGATGATGATACTCACGGTGATGATGACTATGATGATGAGGATGCTGATCCTGATGATAATGCTGATGTTGATGCTGATGCTGATGTTGCTTACGTTGATTCTGATGATGATGATGATGATGATGATGTTGAGATTGATGCTGCTGCTGGTGATGATGATGGTGATGAGGATGATGATGCTGATGCTGATGATGATGATGATGATGATGATGATGATGATGATGATGATGATGATGATGCTGATGATGATGATGATGATGATGATGATGATGATGATGATGCTGCTGCTGATGATGATGATGATGATGATGAGGATGATGATGATGATGATGATGATGATGATGATGATGAGGGATGAGGGAGGAGGGAGGATGGAGGAGGGAGGAGGGCGGCGGGAGGAGGGAGGGAGGGATGGAGGGAGGGAGGGAGGGAGGTTGGGAGGGGGAGGAGGATGAGGAGGAGGAGGATGAGGAGGAGGACACAGGGGTGGCGGAGGAGGCTGAGAAGGAGGAGGAGGATGATGCGTGATGATTCTGCTGCTGCTGATGATGCTGCTGCTGCTGCCGATGCTGATGCTGATTATGACGATGATGATGCTGATGATTGTGACGATGACTATGCCGAGGATGCTGATTATGATGATGACGATGATGCTGATGATGATGATGATGATGATGATGATGTTGACGATGATGCTAGTGGTGGTAGTGATGACGCTGCTGATGTTGATGACGACGATGATGCTGATGATGATGACGATGACGATGATGATGATTACGATGATGACGATGCTGATGATGATAATGATGATGACGATGATGATGGCGATGACGATGGTGCTGATGATGATGAGTATGATAATATTGCTGATGCTGATGCGGATGATGCCGACTGACGATGTTGATGACGATGCTGATGATGCTGACGATACTGGCGATGACGCTGGCGATGACGATGACGATGCCGATGCTGATGCTGATGATGCTGATGCTGACGCTGACGACGCCGATGATGATGCTGATGATGAGGTTGATGAGACTGCGGCTGATGATGAGGATGCTGCTGACGATGATGATGATGATGCTGATGCTGATGATCATGCCGATGATGATGACGATAATGCTGATGATGATGATGATGATGATGATACTGATGATGATGATGATGATGATGATGATGATGATGATGCTCACGCTGATGATGATGACGATGATGATGAGGACAATGATGATGATAACGATGCTGCTGCTGATGCTGACGATGCTAGAAATGGACATGCTGACGGTGATGACGATGCTGATGCTGCTGCTGCTGATGATGATGACAATGATGAAGATGCTGATGCTGATGCTGATGCTGAGGACGATGATGATGCCGCTGATGATGATGCTGCTGATGATGATGATGGTGCCGCTGATGTTGTTGATGATGATGCTGCTGATGTTGATGATGACGATGATGATGAGGATGTCGATGTTGATGCTGATGATGATGCTGATTATGATACTGCTGATGATGATGATGATGCTGATGACGATGATGATGATGATGATGATGATGATGATGATGATGATGATGATGATGATGATGATGATGATGATGATGGTGATGATGACGCTGCTGCTACTGCTGCTGCTGATGCTGATGATGATGATGCTGATGATTATGATGATGATGATGATGATGCTGCTGCTGCTGATGATGATGATGATGATGATGATGATGATGCTGCTGCTGCTGCTGCTGATGATGATGATGATGATGATGATGATGATGATGATGATGATGATGCGGATGAGGATGAGGATGAGGATGATGAGGAGGATGAGGATGAGGATGAGGTGGGGAGGAGGAGAAGGAGGAGGAGGAGGAAAGGAGGAGGAGGAGGAGGAGGAGGAGGAGGAGGAGGAGGAGGAGGGAGGAGGAGGAGGGAGGAGAAGGAGGAGGAGGAGGAGGAGGAGGAGGAGGAGGAGGAGGAGGAGGAGAGAGGAGATGGATGAGGAGGACGAGGAGGAGGATCAGGCGGAGAGGAAGGAGGTTGAGGAGAATGAGGAGGACGAGGATCAGGATGAGGATGAGTATGAGTATGAGGATGAGGATCAGGTTGAGGATGATGATTATGATGATATGATGATGATGATGATGATGATGATGATGATGATGATGATGATGATGATGATGATGATGATGATGAGGGTGAGGATGAGGATGAGGATGATGATGATGATGATGATGATGATGATGATGATGCGGATGCTGATGATGATGCTGATGTTGATGCTGATGAGGATGATGATGAGGATGAGGATGTGGATCAGGATGATGATGACGATGATGGTGATGATGATGATTATGATAATGAGGATGATGATGATGATGCTGACTTTGATGATGATGATGATTATGATGATGATGATGATGATGATGATGATGATGCTGATGATGATGCTGATGATGATGATGATGATGATGATTATGATGATGATGATGATGATGATGATGATGATGAGGTGATGATGAGGAGGAGGAGGAGGAGGAGGAGGAGGAGGGAGGAGGAGGAGGATGATGATCGATGATGATGATGATGGATGATGATGGATGGTGGTTGTGGTGGTGGTGGGGTGGCGGGGGGGTGGTGGTGGTGGTGGTGGTGGTGGTGGTGGTGGTTGGTGGTGATGATGATGATGATGAGGAGGAGGAGGAGGAGGAGGAGAGGAGGAGGAACCGGAGGAGGAGGAGGAAAGGGAGGAGGAGGAAGACTGAGAGAGGAGGAGGAGGAGGGAGGAAAAGCTATGAGCAGCGGAGAGGAGGCTGACGAGGAGGAGGAGGAGGTGGAGGAGGAGGAGGAGGAGGAGGAGGATAACAAGAAGGGAGGAAAAGAAGGAGGAGGATGGGAGGAGGAGGAGGAGGAGGAGGAGGAGGAGGAGGAGTGGAGGAGGAGGAGCGGGAGGAGGAGGCAGGAGAAAGGAGGCGGATGATGAGGATGATGTCAGGAGGATGAGGAGAGGAGGAGGAGGAGACGAGGAGGAGGCGGAGGAGGAGGAGAAAGGGAGCGGAGGCGGTTCCAGTGAGGAGGGGGATTTGGAGGATGATGATGATGATGCTGATGGGGGATGATGATCGATGATGAATGATGATGAGATGATGATGATGCTGAGGAGGAGGGGAGGAGGAGGATGAGGAGGAGGAGTTGGAGGATGAGGAGGAGGAGGAGGAGGAAGAGGAGGAGGAGGACGAGGATGGCCAGGAGGAGGAGGAGGAGGAGAGTTGGAGGATGAGGAGGGATGAGGATGAGGAGGAGGAGGAGGAGGAGGAGGAGCAGGAGGAGGAGGAGGAGGAGGAGGAGGAGGAGGAGGAGGAGGAGGAGGAGGAGGAGGAGGAGGAGGAGGGGGAGGAGGAGGAGGAGGAGGAGGAGGAGGAGGAGGAGGAGGAGGAGGAGGAGGAGGGGGACTCCTGGGGCCTTCGTGGAGCTTCTTCTGGGTGCCTTCTCTTTTGTGGCTTCTTGGGGGCGTCTTGGGCCGTAGGGCGCTGCTGGCCCGTCGGAAGCAGTCTTGGACACCTCTCTGAATCGACTTGGGGCCATCTTGGGGCGCTCCAGGGCCGTCTTGGAGGCCAGCTTGGGCGTCTTGGAGGCCTCTTGTGCCGTGTTGAGGCCCTCTTGGGGCCGTCTTTGAGGCTGCTTGGGCCGTCATCGGGTCATCTTGGAGGCCTTTGCCATCTAGGGGTGATATTGAGGGCCTCTTGGGCCGTCTTGGGCCGTCGGAAGGCCGAAAAGAAGCAAAGGGCAACATCCTTCAACAGCCTGATATAAATCAATGATTTTGGCCTCTTCGGGCCCTCCTGGAGGACCTCTTGGATGCCTCTTGAGCATTCTTGGAGGCCTCTTGGAGACTTCTTGGGCCGTCTTGGGCCGTCTTGGAGGCTTCTTGGGCGGACTTGGAGGCATCTTGAATCCTCTTGGGCCGTCTAGTAGGCTCCAGCCACCATGCCCTGATTGTAGTTTAGGGGCCTCCTGCGTGCTGGTGGGGCTCTCTCGGAGGCCTCTTGGATGCGGCCTGGGGATGTCTGGGGGTCTCCTGCGGGGCCTCTGGGGACCTGCCTTGGGTCTCTTGGGGGCCCTCCTGGGGGGCTCCTGGGAGGGCCTCCTTGGGGGGGGGGGGGGCGCCGCGCCTCTGCCGGGCCTCTGCTGGGCCCCTCCCGCGGGGCCCCTGGGGCGCCGTCTTCTGGGGCCTCTGGGGCCGTCTTTGGGGGCCCTCGCTGAGCGCCTGGGGGCGTCCTGGGGGCCCCTCGGCCCGTTCCGAGGCCATGTCCTGGGGGCCTCGGCGGTCCTGGAGCTTTTCTTGGTCGGCGGGGCGAGAGCGAGCCTCTTCCGCTAAAAGCTAGGCGGGCTGCGCACAGCTTTCATTAGGGAGACAGGGCACAGGCGGGCGGGGCCTCAGGCGGCTGGAGTGGGCGGGGCCCGGGGTGCAGCGGCTGCCCTGGCGCGTCGAACGCCAGAGAGGCGAGAGGGCCAAAATCCTTCAGCGACCATCGGAGTGTCCATGATTTTGGGCCCTGGAGGTCCTCCTGGGGGGCCTCTTGGAGCGCTCCTGTGGCTTCTTGGGGGCCTTGGGCCGTCTCGGGGCGCTCGCGTACCTTCCCGGGCACTTCTCAGGAGAACTTGGGGGTTTCTTGGGGTCGTTCTGGGCGGGGTTACCGAACTGGAGGCCTACGCAAGAAACCCCAGGAGGGCCCAGCAATTGCGGGACAAAGTCTTTCTCCACCTCTCAGAACAGTATGAGCCTTGGGGCACTCCGCTACGCGCTGAAGGCACGGTGGCGGATTTCCATATCAATCGTCGAATGGTTTTCCCTTCTTCTTCCTCATGGAGGCGGGCAAAAACCCAATCTACTTTCAACGATTCTTACTTCATGTTTCTGCCCACTTCTCCCGGCCGATCTGTACCCAGGCAGGCTCAGGATGAGGATGAGGATGAATTGCTCCGGAGCGCTCCAGGGAGACAGGTTTATCCTTATCCGGATTTATCATCACCCTGCCTTTGTCTCCGGTGCGATAGGGTCGAGTCGGGCCGACGCCGTGACGACCCCAGCACGGGCGTAAGACCCGAACACCGAACGCATGAGGCAGCCGACACCGAACGATCCTGCGCGGTGGGAAAGCCGCACAGGGCGCAAGACCCTCAAGCTGAGTCCGACCGACCTCCCTCCTCGCCCATCCGTTTCCTCCTCCTCCTACTCTTCCCTAGTGGTCTCCTCCTCCTCCCTTCCCTCCTAGGTGCTTTCTCCTCCCTTCCCTCCCAGGTCTTTTCTCTCCTCTCTCTTCCTCCTCCCTGCATCCCCCCACCTCCTCCTTCCTCCTCCCCTGTGCCGCCCTCCCTGCGTCCTCTCTCCCTCCTCCCTGCTCCTCCCTGCTTCTCACTGCTCCTCCCTGCCCCCTCCCTCCCCTCAAAGCCGTCAGGACCCCGAGAGCTACCACGAGGTCGAAGAGATCTACTGGAAGGCGCGCCAGTGTCGTTGCATTTTGTTGTTGTTGTTGTGGTTGTTGTTGTTGTTGTTGTGGTTGTGGTTGTGGTTGTGGTTGTTGTTGTTGTTGTTGTTGTTGTTGTTGTTGTTGTTGTTGTTGTTGTTGCTGGGATTGTTGTTGTTGTCGTTGTCGTTGTCGTTGTTGTTGTTGTTGTTGTTGTTGTTGTTGTTGTTGTTGTGATTGTGGTTGTGTGTTTTGTTGTTGTTGTTTTTGCTGTTGTTGTTGCTCTAGTTGTTGTTGTTGTTATTATCGTTGTTTTTGTTGTTGTTGTTGTTGCTGCTGTTGCTGTTGTTGTTGTTGTTGTTGTTGTTGTTGTTGTTGTTGTCGTTGTTTTTGTTGTTGCTGATGCTGCTGTTGTTGTTGCTGCTGCTGTTGTTGTTGTTGCTGTTGCTTCTGCTGCTGCTGCTGCGATTCTGCTGCAGCTGCAGCTGCTATTGTTGCTGTTGTTGTTGGTGTTGGTGTTGCTGTTGTTGTTGTTGCTGTTGTTGTTGTGGTGCTTGATGGTGTTGGTTTTGCTGTTGTTGTTGTGGTGGTGTTGGTTGTGGTTGTTGTTGTTGCTGTAGTAGTAGTAGTAGTAGTAGTAGTATTAGTCGTAGTCGTAGTCGTAGTAGTAGTAGTAGTAGTAGTAGTAGTAGTAGTAGTCGTAGTAGTAGTAGTAGTAGTAGTCGTAGTAGTAGTAGTAGTAGTAGTAGTCGTAGTAGTAGTAGTAGCAGTAGTAGTCGTAGTAGTACTAGTCGTAGTAGTAGTAGTAGTAGTAGTCGTCGTAAGCAGTAGTAGTAGTAGTAGTAGTAGTAGTAGTAGTAGTAGTAGTAGTAGTAGTAGTAGTAGTAGTAGTCGTAGTAGTAGTAGTAGTAGTAGTAGGAGAAGGAGAAGCAGTAATATAAGTAGTAGTAGTAGTAGTAGTAGTAGTAGTCGTCGTACTAGTAGTGGTAGTAGTAGTAGTAGTAGTGCTAGTAGTAGTCGCGATATTCGTAGTAGTAGTTGTAGTAGTAGTAGTAGTAGTAGTAGTAGTAGCAGTAGTAGTCGTAGTAGTAGTAATAGTAGTAGTAGTAGTAGTAGTAGTAGTAGTAGTAGTATTAGTAGTAGTCGTAGTAGTCGTAGTAGTAGTAGTAGTAGTAATAATAGTAGTAGTAGTAGTAGTAGTTTTAGTAGTAGTAGTAGTAGGTAGTAGTAGTAGTAGTCATAGTCGTAGAAGCAGTATTATTATTAGTCGTAGTAGTATTGTTATTAGTAGTAGTAGTAGTAGTAGTAGTAGGCTAGTCGTACTAGTCGCAGCAGTAGTAGTAGTAGTAGTAGTAGTAGTAGTAGTAGTAGTAGTAGTAGTAGTAGTAGTAGTAGTAGTAGTAGTAGTAGTAGTAGTAGTAGTAGTAGTAGTTGTAGTAGTAGTAGTAGAAGTAGTAGTTGTAGTAGTAGTAGTAGTAGTAGTAGTAGTAGTAGTAGTAGTAGTAGTAGTAGTAGTAGTAGTAGTAGTAGTAGTAGTAGTAGTAGTAGTAGTAGTAGTAGTAGTAGTAGTAGTAGTAGTAGTAGTAGTAGTAGTAGTAGTAGTAGTAGTAGTAGTAGTAGTAGTAGTAGTAGTAGTAGTAGTAGTAGTAGTAGTAGTAGTAGTAGTAGTAGTAGTAGTAGTAGTAGTAGTAGTCGTGACAGTATTAGTTGTTGTTGCTGTTATTGTTATTGTTATTATTGTTCTGGTTGTTGTTGTTGAGAACTCATCTCTAGAGGATTATAATTGTTGATCTCTGGAAACGGTTGCGCGCGCTCTCGCCTCGACGCCGGCCACATGTTCTTTGAAAACGAGGCTCCCTCGCGCGCGGTGGCTTGAGTCTAAATGTGGGCCCTTGGAGGCCCAGCTACGACAACAACGGCTCCCGCTCGATACTTCCTCAAAATTTACCCCGAGACAGCCTGGCCAGAGAGGCCCCCGAACTCAGCAACGGCGCTCTCGCTCGAGACTTTTCGCAATTCTGTCAAGTTGGCGGAGGCCCAGCCACGACGACAGGGGCTCCTGCTCGATACTTCTCACGATTTACTTTGAGAGCTCCTGGCCAGGAAGGCCCCCGAAGTCAGGCACGGCGCTCTTGCTCGAGACTTTCTCGTAATTCAGGCAAGTTGGTGGAGGCCCAGACACGGCGACAAGGGTTCCCGTTCGATATTTCTCCATAGGTATTCCGAGAGCCCCTGGCTACAGAGGCTCCCGAATTCAGCAACGGCGCTCTCGCTTGATACTTCCCTGCAATTCAGTCAGTTGCCGACAAAGAAGATATTCCCCCCGAAAGGGGGTGCAGTCGAAGACGAAGTAGTCGGGTATCGAGGGTTGGGGTATACAGAATGCAAGACACGCGTGCCAGTAAGAGCGAACAGTCTTAAAATGATTGTTGTTGTTGTTGTTGTTGTTGTTGTTGTTGTTGTTGTTCTTGAACTCTCATTTCTGAATAATTATTCTTGATCCCCCCCGTCCGGTGCACATTATTTTTTTTCGATTGAAGTGCCCTTCCCGGGGCTCGCACCCTGTTTTTTATCAGGGAAAGTCTTGAGGGTCAAACTGTTTTGTTGGCCCCTGGTTTACAACAACAACGGCTCCCGCCTGATATTTCCTCACAATTCGTTGAAGAATCGCGCTCTCGCTTGGGACTTCCTTGCAATTTTCCACTGGATCGCGGCTCCCGCTTGATACTTCCTCACAATGTATTGAAGAATCGCGCTCTCGCTTGGGACTTCCTCGCAACTTACTACCGAATCGTGGCTCCCGCCTGATACTTCCTTACAATTTATCCAGATGCCGCTCCTCGACACTCAGGAGTCGCGCTCCCGCTACATCTTGCCTGGCGGTTCAAGCAGAATTTACGCTTCAACGACCCGCCCGCTCGACCCGCCCGTCTGGGCCTGCCCGCCCGACCAGCCCGTTAGGAACTGCAGTCGCCGCTCGCTGCCTTTCGCCAGGCTTCGATGCCCCTCGCTGCCCGTACTGGTTCCGCGGTCGCCTTCGCTCGCTGCCCTTCGTGGCCCCGTTGCTGCACTTCGTGGCAGGGAATGAATATACCCCCCAAAAGGGGGCACGATCGAAGACGAAGAGGGCGGGTATCCATGGTTTGGGATATGCATATTGAATGACATGCGAGCAGATAAGAGCGAACAGTCTTAAAATGATTGTTGTTGTTGATGTTGTTGTTGTTGTTGTTGTTGTTGTTGTTGTTGTTGTGGTTGTTGTTGAATTCTCATTTCTGAAGAATAATTATTGTTGATCCCACCTCACCGGTGCATGCTGTTTTTTCTCAATCAAAGTGTGCCCCTCGAGGCTCGCACCATGTTTTTTGACAGGGGAAATCTTGATGCTCAAAATGTGCCCCTGGTCCCCGCGTTACAGCAACAACGGCTCCCGCGTGTAGCCAGGTCCCCCGCTTCCGCCCGAGATTCCCTTGCATTTTATTCAGGAATCACAATTTATTCAGGAATCGCTCTCCCGGCGCTCTGGAGTCGCTCTCTCGCTGGAGACTTGCTTGCAATTTAGTGAAGAATAGCGCCCTTGCGTTGGAATTTCTTGCAAGTTGCTCAAGCGCCACGCTCCCTACACCCAGGCACCCAGGAGTCGCGCCCGTTGTGGCCCCATGTGCATGCCCTTCGTGGCCCCGCTGTCCCCGTTTGTGGCCCCCTCACTGTCCTACGTGGCCCAGTTGCCCCATCGTTGCCTTCTGTGGCCCCGAATTATCTGCCCTTCGTGGCCTCCGCTCGTTCGCGCTCTTCGTGGCCCCATACGCATTCCCTTCGTGTCCCCGCTGTCGCCCTTCGTGGCCTACTTCGTGTCTTCCGTGGTCCTGCTGTCGTTCTCTCTCGCTCTTGCTTTCGCTCGTCGTCGCCGTCGTCGTCGTCGTCGCCGTCGTCGTCGTCGCCGTCGTCGTCGTCGTCGTGGTCGGTCCACAGTCCGTCCCTCTTGGGGTCGGGTTGACGGTCCGCGGCCGCCTCGCCGATCAGCGCTGCCGCTGGCCAGGCCGACGGTCCGCAGCCGGCCCGCCGCTTGCCGGGGCCCGGCCTGCAGGGAAGAAAGGTATACCCCCCAAAAGGTTTTCGATCGAAGACGAAGAGGGTGGGTATCGAGGGTTTGGGAAACACGCGTTGGACACTCGAGCAGATAAGGGCGAACAGTCTTAAAATGATTGTTGTTGTTGTTGTTGTTGTTGTTGTTGGTTTTGGCGTTTCAAAAAATAATTATTGTTGACCACCCTTCCAGGGCACACGGTATTTTTGTTTGAAATACCCTTCCCAGGACTCGCTCTCTCTCTCTCTCTCTCTCTCTCTCTCTCTCATTTTGTTATATATATATATAAACAAGGAAAGTCATGTGCCTCAGAATTGGGTCCCTGGTCCCTGATAGTTCCTCACAATATATTCCCAAATCGCGCTCTCGCGCGGGACGTCCTCACATTTTTTAGCAAGCATCGCGCTCTCGCGTGGCACTTCCTCGCAATTTATTCAGACGCCGCGCCCTCGACACTCAGAAATCACGCTCTCGCTGTGGATTTCCCCACGATTCATGTGGGAATCGCGCTATATCACTCGAGGTTTCCTCGCGATTCATGCAGGACGCACGCTTCAACAACCCGCCTGCTCGACCTGGCCGCCTGGGCTCGCCTTCCCGACCCGCCTGTGAGGGTCTACCCGCCCGATCAGCCCGCCTGATTCTGCCACGTGTTTTCTGCTCCTTGCCCCCCTCCTGCTACTCTCTCGTGCTCCATTCTCCTCCGTCCCCCCTTTTCCTTCCTTCCATCCGTCTGCTCTTCCCCTGCCCTAGGGGCTGCACGAAATACGCGTTGCAGGTAAGAAGGATATACCCCTGAGGGAGCGCGATGGAAGACGAAGAGGGCGGGTATCGTGGGTTTGGTATATATGTCTTGCATGGTACGCGAACAGATAAGAGTAAACAGTCTTAACATGATTGTTGCTGTTTTTGATGATGTTGTTGGTTTTGTGGTGGTGGTGGTGGTGGTGGTGGTGGTGGTGGTGGTGGTGGTGGTGGTGGTTGTTGTTGTTGTTGTTGTTGTTGTTGTTGTTGTTGTTGTTGTTGTTGTTGTGGTTGTCGTCTGTCCTTCTTTCTTCCGCTTTTCTCTTCTCTTCTCTCCTCTTTTTTTCATCCTTCCCTCCCGTTTGTGTTTATGTGTGTGCATCTAATCTAAATTCCAGTAGATCCAGCATCCAGCTTCACGGAAGAGGGGGAAGTGGAAGCGAAGGAGGAGGAGGATGGGGGAGTAGTGGAGGAGATGCATGGGCGTGGGGGGGAGGGATGTGTGGGTCAGGTCTCCCTCCAACAGCGGGCCCTCCCCCCCGCGACCCCGGAGGTGCTCGACATGCTCGAAGAGTACGAGCGCCGGCGCTACGCAGAGTGGGAGGCCGAGGTCCGCCCGATCTTCGCCACCGATGCCGTCGACACTGTCGTCGTGGTCGTCGGGATCGTCGGGGTCGTCGGGGTCGTCGCCGCCTCCGTCGTCGTCCTGGTCGTTGCGGTCGTCGTGGTCGTTGTTGTCGCGGTGGTTTTTGGCTGTCGTGTCGGTGGTGGCGGCGGGTCGTGATCGTGGTCATGGTGCTTGTCGCGGTCGCCGCTGCCACCGCCGTCATCGTGCTTCATCCTGCGCCTCTGGCCGCTGCTCCTCTGGCTGCTCCTGCAGTGGTTGTTTTGGTTTTGCTTGTGGTTGTGGTTGTGGTTGTTGTGGTTGTTGTGGTTGTTGTTGTTGTTGTGGTTGTTGTGGTTGTTGTAATTGTTGTTGTTATTGTTGTTGTTGTTGTTGTGGTTGTTGTGGTTGTTGTATTTGTTGTTGTTGTTGTTGCTGTTGTTGTTGTTGTTGTGGTTGTTGTTTTGGTAATGGTTGTTGTTGTTGTTGTTGTTGTTGTTGTTGCGGTTGTTGTGGTTGTTGTTCTTGTTGTTGTGCTGCCGTTGTTATAATCGTTGCTACTTTTTTGTAGGCATGCTGCGAATTGCGTGTTCATGTGCACGCACACGCACACATGCATATACATATTTATATATAGTCATGTTTACATACCCAGGCACACACACGCATATATATATATATATATATATATTTATATATATATATATATATATACCACACGTTTTTTGGCAGTACATGCCTGTGTGTGTGTGTGTGTGTGCACTCTTACGCATATTTGCATCTGTACATCGGCACGCAGGTGCAAACATCCGTTCTTGCCTTCCTTGGGCCTCCTGGGGCGTCCTCGTGGCCACGCCCGGGCGCGGCTCGAAGCGCTTGCCAGGACGGGCCACGGAAGGGGCCCAGGGGCCGCTCTTGAGCGGTTTTTGGGTGAAGCTCCGTGGCCGCCCGCGATTCGGTCGGATCGGCGGGGCGCGCCGATGGTCTGCGCGCGGTATCGATCGGCCCGACCGGGCTTCCACAGAGACACGCAGAGCCAGAGTTGAGTCGGCGTCGTGCCGAGGGGGGGAGGCCGACGGGGCAGGTCTTCTTCGAGGGCTGCGGGGCCCGTCTTTGCCCGAATGCTTGGTGCTCTGGCAGCATTGGTACGCAGATGGGTTCCCCCCGGCGGCGTGTCATTGATATTGCTTTTGTTCCCCCATGGGGAGGGTGAGTTGGCTGGGGGGCGGGTTCGGCGGCGGGGGAGGAGCCGAGGGCGTTCGTCGTCGTCTTCGTCGTCTCCGTCGTCGTCGTGGGTCGTCGTGGGTCGTCGTCGTCGTGGGTCGTCGTGGGCCGTCGTTGTGGGCCGTCGTGGGTCGTCGTCGTCGGCGGCGCCGCCGCCGTCGCCGCCGCCGCAGCCGCCGTCGTTGTCGTCGTCGCCGCCGTCGTCGTCGTCTTTGTCGTCGTCGGCGCCGGCGGGGGAGTTGGGCGCGCCTGGCCCGCGGGCGCCCCCGTGCGGCTTGCCAGGCGGTCGAGGCCGCGAAGCAGAAGTTGAGCCAGCGGATCCTCCGGCGCCACGAGAAGAGCGGGCTGCTGAAGGCCGTCGCTGCCGCCGCCGCCGGAGCCGTTCCTCGCCGGCGTCGGCGCTGCCGTGGTGGCCGCCGTGGTCGCCACGCTTGCCATCGTGGTCGTGGTCGTGGCTGCTCCGAGGAGGAAGATGCAGCGATACCGCTACCCTTTCCTCGTCGCCACGGTTAGAGTCGTCCCGCATTTCTGGGCAGAACGCACCCCAGGAGAGGTCTGGGGAGTAGCTGTATCGGTACCTTTTCGTCCCCCCTTCGTCGTCGCCTTTCTTCTGCTGCAGCTCCTGCTTCCTCCTCCTCGCGCTCCTCCCTCCACCCCTGCCGCCCTCCACCTCCCCTTCCACATCCCCCTTCCCCTCTTCCTTCTGCTGCTGCTCCTCCTCCTCCTCCTCCTGCTCCTTATCCTCCTCCTCCTCCTCCTCTTCCCCCCGACGCATCCCCCCCGCCCTCCTCCCATTTCCCCTGCCCCTGCCCTTCCTCCCCTCCTCCAAATCTTGGGGAGGGCAAGGAAGGGAAAGCGAGACGGGGAGGCGCAGAGGAGACGGGGATCAGCGAGGAGCGGAGGTGTGGGAGGGGAGGGGGAGGGGACGGGTGGGAGGGCGACGATGGCGAGGAGGGCGAGTAGATGGGCGAGAGGGGTGGGGGGTGGGAGGGCGGGCCGGGGCGAGGAAGGGAAGGGCGAGTAGGGGCGAGGTGGGGGCGCGTTCGCCATCGTCCGTTTGCGTCTCGTTCCCGTTTCTCTTTTTCCAGGCGATCGCAAATATGGATCCCGTGTCCGTGGGAAATCTCGGACTTCCGCCGCCGAACGAGGCAGCACCGGCCGCATTTTGGGAAGAGCACCTCCCCCGAACCATGGATTTTGCGACCGCGCTCCAAATCCATGGATCGCTAATCCATGGTTGCGCGCCCCCGATCTTTCTCCACCGCTGCGCCGCCGTTTGGGTTTCTCTTTTTGTTGTTGTTGCTGCTGCTGTTGCTGTTGCTGTTGCTGTTGCTGCTGCTGCTGCTGTTGTTGTTGCTGCTGCTATTGTTGATGATGGTGATGATGATGATGCTGACGAGGATGATGATGATGGTGGTGATGATGCTGCTGCTGATGATGATGCTGATGATGCTGATGATGGTCATGCTGCTGTTTTGTTGTTGTTGTTGTTGTTGTTGTTGTTGTTGTTGTTGTTGTTGTTGTTGTTGTTGTTGTTGTTGTTGTTTTGGTTTGCAATCGGGCCGGGGACATCGAGCAATCCAGAGCTTGTTCATAGCAAACCAGTCATAGCTGTTGTTTTTGCTTTGTTTTGTTGTGCTGTTCGGTTTATTGTGTGTTTATGTGTCTTGTTGTTATCTTATGGTGTGTGTTGTACAAGCGAATAAACGATGAACAGGTCGACATTCCCAGCGACAGCAAGAGGATGCTCGTGATGAAGCCTCCAGGCACTACCACCTCTAGCTTTGAGCGTGCGTGCTGCCAGGAGTGGCATTGCCGATAAACGAACTCGGCCACCTGCCGTGGCGTGACTTGAGCCGAGCAGCCCAGGCACAGAATTGTGTCCCACCAGGAAATCCCTGGGAGATTTCGGGCACAGGGGGAAACACTACAAGATGAGACAGGGCACGACCTGGGTCCTCTCCAATGCGGCAAAACGAACTTCCGGCAGCATAATTATGGGTGGTGCTACACGCGTGTCAGGCAGACGGTCGTGTCCCTCACGACTGCGGCACCACGGGTCAGAAGACGCTGGAAAATCCCGTAGGGCAAGCTCTTCACCTTCCCATTGATTCCTCAAATCCCATCTATGATCGTGAGCATTTCAGGAGGATGGGCAGAGAGAAGAAGAGAGCAGAGCAGGGAGGTATGGGGCTGGAAGAAGCACTCCTTGCGAAGGCCGTTCGCGCGCCATCCACGCCGAGACACAACCGTTTCCAACGTGGCTGGCGATCCGAACGTGTGGGAGGGCACCCCCTCAAGCAGCTTCGAGAGCGTGCCCCAGGAGGTCTTGACGGCCCCCGATCAGAGGCCACCGAGCACATCCGTCAGCAGCACGCTGGTGCCCATCTCGACGCGCGGGGCCACACGCACAGCAGCCTCGAGCAGGTCCGTCAGCAGCTGTCAGCGGCGCTCTGTGGCGTGGGTCGTGGGTCCACCGCGGGGCCGGGCCCCTCGTGCGGCCTCCGGCCGCGGAGAGCGCTCCAACCCCCGGCTCCGGGCTCGCTGCGGCCTACTGTCAGGTCGGGCGGGTCCTCCTGCAGGCGGAAATTTTTGGACGGAAAAAAAGAGATGGTCACACGGTGCTCCAAAGGAGTCGAGGACAGTCGAAGAATCGTTCGCCGACGATTCCTTTACCATGTTTGGGTGTTCCTCCTGTAGAGGGACACGCCCGACACAACCCTGGCTCTGGGCTCGACGCGGCCCACCGGGGCGGAGAGCATACCCGTGCCCGCACCTCTTCGCGCCGGCAGGGTGGCGCCCACCCGAGCTGGTCGCCGACGTGCTGCCAATCGACCAGATCGTGGACCAAACGGTAATCATGCTCATAAGCGCGCCCGGGTCAAGCAAGAAGATTGTGAGGGTCGAACAGCTCAGGAACGCAGTTTCTTTTCTCAGCGGGTAGTGGACTAGAGCCGTGCTGTTCATTACCATGATCTGAATAAGCGCCAACACGGACCGCTTCATCCAACGAAGGTGCGCTGAGGCTGTCAAGGAGAGAGCCCTGCCGCGGCATCTGGCTACCTCCTCCATGGGAAGGCTCGCAACGGCATAAACGATCTTCATCATGATGATACCCCTCGGCAGCATGGGCAAGCAGGCGTGTATGGGGCCTTTCCCGAGCAATCTCAGAGTGCAAAACTGCACTGGCACGTGTACCGGGGTACCGTCCTAGCAAGACGAAATGAACCCAACATCCTGAACAATGTCATGCTGTCCGCCATTCTCTACATGGCCCCGCCACCAGGTGAGACCATGGTGATCTCGAGTATCACCAGGCCGGAGACTGGACCCAGTTGCTCGATAACGATGCCGTCACCCCAGCCGCGGGGAAACGCAAATTTCGCCCGATAGAATAGATGTTGAGAAACCCGTACTCGATGATAACGAAGCTTCGGGCGGCAATGCTATTAACAATCACGAGGTTGAAATGGAACGGTCCCCCCAGGTCCATGGTCGAGACATGGTACCTCCTGGACTGGAACTGTTCCTGGCGCGTGTCGATGCTGTACTCGGGAACGGGTCTCCTTCGTGGGGTCGTGAGGATCTCGTGGAACGGCTTCCCCCTGGTGGTCTTGACCCCCTCGACTGGTGTCCCGCACAGGGTCATGGACGTAGGAAAGGGTTGGACCTAGACGCGCGGTCGCCGCAGCTGGTCTACGCCCAGGTGCCGTGTGCTATACAAGCGACTGAAAGGTCGAAAATCGCCGCTGACGAAAAAGTGTGTGTGTGTGTGCATGTGTGTGTGTGTGTGTGTGCGTGTGTGTGTGTGTTCCCGCGCCCCCGCCCGCGCTCCTGGCCAGGCCCCCGCGGCTGCTGCCGCCCCTCCCCCCCGCCCGCCGCCAGCCCCCCGCCGCGGCCGCTGCCCGCCCTGCCCCGCCACCGCCCCGTGAGGGCCCGGCGCCTCCCCGCTTTTCACCGATCGGCGCGCGCGCGTCGGTCGACAGCATCTGGCTCGGAGTGACCCTCCGCCCAGAACTTCGAGGTTCGAGGTTTTCGGGCGGTTTCGTCGGTTCTCGGCGGTTTTCCAGCCTCGGAATGCTTGCCAGCAGCTGCGCCTCGCCGAGGGCGTTCTGGGGGTGCCTGGATCTTCCCGAACGGCCGCCGGAGACCCGAGTTGTGAGCCAAAACCAAAGTCTCCGGCTTGGAACGCTCACAAGTGTGTGCGTGCGTGTGAGTGCGTGTCCTGTTCGGCCGTCGCTTCGTGGCTTCCCCCCTCTTGCACAGTGGCGCCGTTCGTTGAATGGCAGCCCCGTGTTGCTTCATCGCCAGCGCAGTGATTCTGCCTATCCGCCGACGTAAAAAGTGTGTGTGTGTGTGTTCCTCGGCGGCAGGTCCTGCCTCGCCGCCCTCCTCCCGTCGGGCTTGTGCCCCGGCTTTGGTTCCCGTGCCCTGCACCTCCCCTGGCCATGGCCCTTTGGCGCGCAGCGCACTTTGCGCGGCTTCGCTGAGCTCCTTTTCCTTGTTTCCTTGCGCCCGCTGTTGGGGCAGCCCCTCGGTCCCGTGCCTCGCTGTATTCCACTGTCGTTGGCCGTTGGCGTCCTCCTCTCCTCATGCTGCCGTACGGGCCCGCCCCATGGTATTGCGCGTACCCTTTTTGGCATCTACGCCCAGATGGCTGATGCCGTTCTCCTTGCCTCATAATGCCGCGAGTCATCCACGGTACTGCGAGTACCCGCCCTGCTATCCACGCCAGGATGGCTGATGTCGGTAGGGCCGCATCCTAAATGATGCTTGAGGACCCGGCCGCCGCGCGCACTGTCTGTTCATTTTCTCCGCCTCGTCGCCGAGCGCGAGGCCGCTACCGCCAGCAACAAGTGTGTGTGTGTGTGTGTGTGTGTTTGTGTTTGTGTGTGTGTGTGTTTTTGGTGACCCCCCGTCAGCAATGCCCGGATGACATATGGCGGCGTCTGCTGCGAGACGTTTGCGGTTTCTGAGGGCTTGGGCGTTTCTTGACGCGCGCGCGATTGCTGTTAGACGCTCTCTCCGCCCTGTCGCTGCGCGCAGGGCCGCGACGCCAAAAAAACCTGAGTGTGATTCAATTTCTGTGGTTGTGTGTTTGTTTGTGTGTGCGCGCGCGCGTGTGTGTGCGTGTGTGTGTGTGTGTGTGTGTGTGTGGTGTGGGGGGGCTGCAGCGGCCGTGCTTGGCATGAGCCTCTGGCGTCGCGCGCGGCTGGCGCGGCGTGATCACCTCGGCTGCCAGCTCGGCTTTTGGACTCACCTGCCTCCTCCGCCCCTCTTCTTGCCCCTCCGCCGCCGACCGCTGCGTGCTTCGTTTCGCTCCGGCATCTCGCAGTCGCTCGTGTCCTGGCTTC